CCGGCCGCGCCCGCCGGCGGCAGCGGCGAGGGGGAAGGGGGGCGGGGACTCGCGGGAAGGGGGGGGGGGTGGGGAACCGCCCCGGTCGCCTCGCTCGGGGAGGGCGACGCCGGGGGCACGGGGGACTTCTTTTTTCTCTTATGATTATTTTGATTTAGATTTCTATAATGGAGAATGTAAAGTGCAATGACCAAGAAAATGCATATATTTAGATAATGGAGAGAACCAAAAGAATTAGATAATTGATACCACGCCGACCTTCATGGAGGTAGAAGGCTTGGCGGGGGAAGGCTTATGGTGCCAAAGGCTCGTCTTTCGAATTATACTACCTCCGTTTCTAAATATAAATCTTTCTAGAGATTCCACTGCGGATTATATACGGAGTAAAATGAGTGAATCTATACTCTAAAGTACGTCTATATATAACCGTACGTAGTCCATATTAAAATCTCTATAAAAAGACTTATATTTAAGAACGGAGAGGGTATATATTTATATTAACATATTACCCTTTGTGAAGAAAAGTTGAACAAGAGACTTGTCAGATTGTTCGCACAGGGAAGAAACACCTGGGGTGCTGGAGGCCGGCACCTGTTGACCGCAGCTAGCCAAGTGTAGAACCATATCGATACCATAGAAGGGGGTGTTGCACGACGATTTGAGCGAGTGAGAGATATCTCTGTCCCATCTTCCTTGGGCCAGAGGCTCTGATCTTCAATCACCAGCAATCTGAGAGCCGAACGCCTGAAACAAGTCTGCTTGTGATAAGTACATCTATACTTATAGGTTATCCGATCCATCAGTACTGGAATCAGCATTACTAACTGACTTTAGATGCAACAGGAATTAGTACTCTGACAGAGTGACCATAAAAACTAAGAATTTAGACCTTCAAAAAAAAAACTAAGAATATAGCTCATATAACCAACGTTTGAACAAATGTGCTTTGAGAATTTCCAAGCTGTAATACCAGATAACACAATTCATGGATGTCAGATACAGAGACTATGAAACTGAATCCAGATAATACTGAACTTACCCTTATGAGGATGGATCAATCTGAATATCCAGGGAAACACAGACCAATAACAGTATGTTCTTATATCAGTAAAAACTGAAGGCAGCGTGGGGGGTCAATTACAACGTGGAAAGTAAACCAAGGCAGCCATCGTATTTACACCCTCTGTCCACTAATGTAAGACGTTTTGGCCAAAACGTCTTACATTAGTGAAGAGAGGTAATAGTTGGCAAATGAAGGACAACAACCACATCATCAAAATAAACTACTACTAGTAACTCTGTATGTACGTGTGCGTGCATGCACACTCGTGCTAAAGAAACTAAATAACTGCACACTGAACCTGCTATAGGGTCCATCAACACGGTCGTTTCTTCTCTTTCGTGTAACGTTTAACACCTACATGGATAGACTGAACAAAATAAGACAACTACAGTATTTTAGAGTACACCAATATTACCAACTGAATGACAAAAGCTACTACTTTCATGTACCCATTTGTCATACTAACAATAGAACACACAAATGAGATTGTTACTTTTGTCTATACAGATTATCTGCAGCAAGGGATTCAATGTTATTTTAATGCATAAGAAGCTGAATAGACTTATTTGCAGGGCCAGTGCCATTTCTCTTCCTACACTACTGCCTTGATTTTTACGAATATAAACTTGGTAATCACCAAATATACACTGAAAATATATAGAGAAAAAAGAACTATTAAATAATTGGAGGCATCAAGCATCAGAGAGGAAAACAGATATGAGTAATTAGTACAAAGTTTTTCTTTTTGGTGAAAAACGAATTTTAATTCTCAATCCCTGACTCCAAACTATGTTCAAAACCATGTTCACCCCAATTATAAAGAACTTCAACTGTAATTGTCGAACAAAATTGTTGGGCTGTATATGTGTGAATCTGGCCCACATGGCCCATGTAAACCAGTATATGTATTGTACAGACTAGAGAGGAAGAGAGTTATCCAGAAATTTCCCAAACCCACCACACTTCATGGTGTCAGAGCACAGGCGGGAGGCGATGCTGGGTTCTGTAGGTCGCCGGCGGTGAATCGGCAGCGTGGGGCGGAGCTCCGGGCACCCAGGGTGGTTGTTGGCGCGCGTGTGCTGCGCGGGGCACTGGAGGCGGGACCGGCGACGGTAGAGGCGCGCCTGGAGAGGGCCGGCGGGCGCGGCTGCGTGCGAGCGCGCGGGCTGCCTGCGGAGCGCCTGGAGGGGATTGGAGGCTACAGGCGGCACTGCTCTCTCCCGTGAAGAGGTGCGCACGCGCGAAGTGCTCCTGGTGCTGCGGGTGCTACTGTGTGTGGCAGAGGGCAGAGGAAGGAGGCGGCTGCGCCAGGGGAGAGGCCAAGTACTGGCTGGTTTGCTGCTTGTGCGGCTGGCTTGCTGCTGCTGGAGAAAGACTGAGAACAGTCTGCAGTTGTTGCTGCTTGCAAGTGCTGCTGCTGACTCTGTTGCTGCTGGTGGTGTACTACAGTGGAGTTAGCAGAGAAGAGGATGTAAGAGCTCCTGGATTGATTTGGTGCTGCTGTGTGAGGGGCTGCTAGATAGCGTACTGAGGAAGAAGGAAAGTTCTTGCCTGCTGTGATTGAGGCAAGACATGGGAGAAAATCAGGGACTCGAGAAGGCAATTGAAAAATTGGCTGAGCTCCTAACAGCCAAGGTAGGAGCTGCAGCATCTCTAAATAATGCAATTGTTCCTCACATTGAGCCAATTCAGAAAATTGACTTGATGCCAAATGAAATTAAGCTGGAAGGTGTTAAGAATTATTTGAGCTGGTCAAGAAGGGCGCTACTCATCTTGAGGACTAAAGGGCTTGAGGGCTTTGTCAGTGGTGAGGCAGAGGAGCCAGGAGACAAGAAAACTTCAGAATGGAGGACATGGAGCAGTACCAACTCTTTGATAGTGGCATGGTTGTTGAACTCCTTGTCTCCAACCATTGCTGCAACTGTTGAGACTATCTCAACTGCTACTGAGGTATGGAAAACCCTCTCAAAACTATACTCAGGTGAAGGGAATGTGATGTTAATAGCTGAAACAGAGGAGAGAGTTGGTGAACTCAGACAAGGGGAAAATTATGTGATGGAGTATGTTGCTGAACTGCAGTGTTTGTGGGCTGATTTAGATCACTATGATCCTCTGGATTTGCCACATGCAGATTGCATAGCAGCTGCTAGAAAATGGATTGAACGCAGACGAGTGATGCAGTTTCTCAAAGGATTGAACTCTGACTTTGTGGCGAGACGTGCTACTTTATTTCATCAACCTACTCTACCTGCCTTAGAGGATGCCATAGCAGCAATGACATAGGAGGAGGTCCGATTAAAGTTGATGAAGAATAATACAACGACTCCATCTCATCCAGCCTTCATAGCAACCGACTATAAGAGCAGAGAGTGCTTCAACTGCGGTGAGAAGGGTCATTTGATTCGTTCTTGCACGGCTCCACGTAGGAACATGCGTGGAAGGGGGAGAGGATATAACCGAGGTGGATTAAGGGGAGGCCGAGGCCGGGGATACTCTGGTGGTCAAAGGGCAAATCTGGCAGTCTCAGAAGAAGGATCCTCACTCGCAACCCAAGAAGAATCAAAGAAAAGAACAGAAAGCACAGGTGATAAGGATCATGAGGATTGTAGTTACGGCAACTTTGCTCACTTTGTATCTACAGATGAAGGTAATTGTGCTCATGCATCTATTCTCTCACAAAGATCACATCCTGATTGGATATTAGATTCGGGGGCATCAAAGCATGTTGCCGGCACATCAATGGAATTCGAGTCATATATTCCATATCCACCCACATGTAAGGAGACTATCCAAACTGCTGATGGCACCTCACAACCCATTAAAGGCATTGGCACAATGCAATGCACACCATCTATTAAACTTTCATCTGTTTTGCATGTTCCTGCCTTTCCAGTCAATCTTATGTCAATGAGTTCTTTGGTTGACGATGTGGATTGTCGAGTAATAGTTGACCGCTATTTATGTCTAATTCAGGAGAGGCAAACGGGGAAGAGGCTTGGGACTGGAACCAGGTGTAATGGGCTATGGTACATGGATCGCAAGGTGCCAAATAATGCGGTGTCTACGATGTTAGCAACAATGATGGGAGAAAAGGAAACAAAGGTAATGCTTCACCATTGTAGAATGGGACATATGTCTTTTGAGAAGATGAGTAAAGTCTTTCCCGATGTAATGTGTGGGGTGGATAAGAACAAGCTTGTGTGTGATGCATGTGAGTTTGCTAAACACACAAGGACATCTTATGTGAGTAAGGGTCTTAGGAGTATTTCCCCTTTTATGCTTGTTCACTCAGATGTGTGGACATGTCCTGTTATCTCTCTAAGTGGAATGAAGTACTTTGTTACATTCATTGATTGCTATACTCGTATGACATGGGTGTATCTTATGAAGCATAAGGATGAGGTTTTTAAATGCTTTCAGTATTTCTATGCTTATGTGAAAAATCAGTTCAATACACAGATACAGATGATCAGGACAGATAATGGGACAGAGTATGTGAATAAGGAGTTTGTCACATTCCTATCAAGTCAAGGTATATTGCACCAAACATCTTGTCCGGGTACACCACCTCAAAACGGAGTAGCTGAGAGGAAGAATCGCCATATTTTGGAGGTTGCTCGGTCACTAATGTATACAATGAACGTGCCAAAATTCTTGTGGAGTGAGGCTGTAATGACAGCTACATTCCTCATCAACCGGATGCCGTCAAGGGTGATTGGAATGAAGTCGCCATGTGAGATGTTACTAGGTGAGAACAAATTCTTAGTTCCTCCTAAGGTATTTGGATGCACCTGCTTTGTCCGGGATCATAGACCCTCAGTGGGAAAATTGGGTCCACGAGCAGTAAAGTGCATCTTCATAGGTTACCCATCTGGTCAGAAGGGATACAAGTGTTGGAGTCCCAGCGAGCGGAGAACATTTGTGAGCATGGATGTGACATTCAGGGAGTCTGAACCGTTTTATGGAGAAAAAACGGATCTCAGCTCGTTATTTGACTTCGACTCTCCTAGCATGAGTGGTGCTAGTCGAGAGGGCGGGAGTGAACCACCAAGGACAAAGGAAGATGAACCACCGAGAGTTGTGGTTAGTTCAATTCCATGTCATGCAAGGGAAGAGAGATGGAGAAAGCCAAATGAGGAAGAAAATCTAAGGGTGTATACCAGGAGGCAACCTATGACTGAAGAGAAATGGAGAAAGCCAAATGAGGAAGAAAATTTAAGGGTCTATACCAGGAGGCAACTACAAGATGAGCAGCAACAACAACAATCTCCAATAGCAAGTGACACACATATGTAGGGGGAGCAACAGGCTCCAACAAGTGTTGAAATTGTTGAATTGTCTGATGGTGAGACATGTGCCACTCCAACTCCATCTAATGTAAACGATTCAATGAACTTGCCTATTGCCTGGAGGAAAGGAACCCGAGTTGGAGCTGGAAAACCTCCAGAGAGGTATGGTTTTGAGCATGACATAGCTAATTACGTATCATATACATCTCTGTCTCCGAGATACAAAGCATTCATTGCATCATTGCAATCTGTGGTGACTCCAAGAGATTGGAAAATGGCAAAGCAGGATCCAAAGTGGTACGAGGCAATGTTGGAGGAAATGAGAGCACTTGAAAAGAACAAGACATGGGATATTGTACCTCTTCCAGCAGGAAAACGACCGGTTAGCTGTAAATGGGTGTATACTGTGAAGCAGACTCCTGAAGGAAGGGTAGAAAGATACAAGGCAAGGTTAGTGGCTAGGGGCTATAGTCAGACATACGGGATTGATTATGATGAGACTTTTGCACCTGTCGCAAAGATGGGCACAGTGAGAACCTTAATTTCTTGTGCCACTAACTTTGGTTGGGCTTTGAATCAGTTATGTAAAGAATGCATTCCTGCATGGTGATTTACATGAGGAAGTTTACATGGAGATTCCACCTGGTTTCTCAAAGCCTGAGATATCAAGAAAGGTATGCAAGTTAAGGAAGTCTTTGTATGGCCTCAAACAGTCTCCACGAGCATGGTTTGATAGATTCAGACGTGCTGTGTGCAATATGGGATATAAACAGTGCAATGGGGATCATACAGTATTCTACCGGCACTCAAATTGTCAGATTACAATCCTTGCGGTGTATGTGGATGATATTATAATCACCGGAGATGATGATGTGGAAATATCACGACTGAAGAAGAGCCTGAGCAAGGAGTTTGAGGTAAAGGATTTAGGCCAACTGAAGTACTTCCTTGGTATAGAAATTGCTAGATCCCCTAAAGGAATTGTTCTGTCACAACGGAAGTATGCTCTCGACTTGCTTAGTGACACAGGCATGCTTGGGTGTAGGCCTGCTTCAACACCTATTGACCAGAATCATAAGTTATGTGCTGAATCTGGGGAACCAGTGGATAAGGAGAAGTACCAGAGACTTGTTGGAAGGCTCATCTACCTATGTCATACACGACCCGATATCTCATATGCAGTGAGTGTGGTGAGCAGATACATGCATGATCCTAGGAGTGGACACTTAGAGGCTGTCTATCGAATCCTCCGATATCTGAAGGGTAATCCAGGAAGGGGGCTATGGTTTAAGAAGAATGGGCATCTTAATATAGATGGATACTGTGATGCAGACTGGGGAAGTTGTTTGGATGACAGAAGATCAACTTCTGGTTATTGTGTGTTTGTTGGGGGAAACTTGGTGTCATGGCGAAGTAAGAAGCAGCCAGTGGTGTCCAAATCAACAGCTGAAGCTGAATATAGAGCTATTTCACAAGGCTTGAGTGAGATGTTATGGGTAAGAAATCTTCTCTCTGAGTTAAAGGTAATAAGGAAGGATCCCCTAAGGTTATGGTGTGATAATAAATCAGCTATCAGCATTGCTAATAATCCAGTTCAGCATGACAGAACCAAGCATGTCGAGATAGACCGCTTCTTCATCAAGGAGAAGTTAGATGATGGCATAATCAGGATAAGTTATGTGAGCTCTAGAGAACAAGTGGCTGATTGTTTAACTAAGGGTTTAAGTGTCAAGGAGTGTAATTCTGCGTGTGACAAGATGGGAATGATAGATATCTATCACCCATCTTGAGGGGGAGTGTTGGGCTGTATATGTGTGAATCTGGCCCACATGGCCCATGTAAACCAGTATATGTATTGTACAGACTAGAGAGGAAGAGAGTTATCCAGAAATTTCCCAAACCCACCACACTTCAAAAATAGATTATATAAAACAATTAAAGCCTGATCTCTGATAATCCAGAGAACAAAGAGAGGGGGAGGTTCGAGAACTACTAACTCCAGCAACAGCATACTTACATCCATATATCTAAGCCAGGGAACAAATCCTAATACATGAGATTTTCATTTCAGAGCATAAGAAAGTGCACAGCAAATTAGTATATCCCAAGTTCCCAACCAATGGACTCATAGCGTGATAGTTTTTTTATGTTTGGACAGATTTGAGTGTTTGACAATGGATTATGTCTACTGTGAATTAAAGGCAGGATCTTCTGTTAGACATGCATTGGAATTTAAAATGCATGGTCCAGAGTAGATTATTAGCAACTAAAAAAGGAAAGTAACTTACGCATGGTGCTGTCGGAATTGTCGTGGATGCGTATAGTTGAACAAAAGGACACAACATCGTAATATTTTGATGGTTAAATAGGAAGAGTGGATATTTAGTTAAAGATTCAAGGTATACAGAGGCAACTAAGATAAAATCATATTTCTTGGATTAACATAATCAATTATTAATTTGCCGTGCTCTTATGGAAGATACCTACGGAATAACGACTTGAACAGCTCAGCTTAACTTATAAAAAGCACCACCTATGTTGCCTGTAGGGCTTTGCTCTCCAACAGCACCTCCACTGCCAACATAGAGCTGGCAAGCAAACTATCTTTATCATATTTTGTCTCTGCTGCGTCGATTGCTACAATGAACCGCCACTTGGCGATTCAGAGATACACAGTTGGCTACTCCAAAGAGTGTCAGGTTCATGATTTAAATAAACTGTGTAGACCAATTGAAGCCTAAAAACTTGATCAAGAAAAGAAAAGGGTTAAATTGTCTCCCTGAACCATATCATCATTGGCACTCAAACATATATGAAATGAAATACAGAAAACCGAACTGATAACTCACTGTTGAGTTTATATTTTCCAGCTTAAACCCGCATCCCTGTCCATGTACAAAATAAACAAAAGAGTATGCAGCCTATTCACAAAATAAACAAAAGTATATGGGGAATGGAGTTTAATCAAACACAGACCAAACAGGAATGGTAATTGGCCGAAATCACAATATTAAAAAATTTGGTACACCAACAATCGAAGATCCAGTAAATCATTAATAAAGTGATATATCAAACATAATTAGTTTGAGTGAGTGGATGTCAAATAATACAATTCATGGATGCAGATACAGAAACTACGAAACCAAAAACAGAGAGTCATGGTTTGATGAATCCTCTCGATGCAATGGACAATACTTAACTTATCCTTATGGGGATGAATAAATCTGAATATTAGGGAATCATAGACTAATAAAAGTGTTTTGTTGTATCTGCAAACTGAAGGCAATGTGTTGGGTCAATTATGAGAGTAAACCAACACTAGTTGGTAAACGGTAACAATTACACAATAAAGAAACGCTATGAAGTATGTATGTGTGTGTATGGATGCACACTTGTGCTGAACAAATTTAAAAAGTTACCACTGAACCTTCTATATGATCCATCAACACGGCCGTAGCTTCAAAAGATAAATAAATCCGCACTGGAAGGATTGGTCTTCAACTCTTCATGATTGAGGCCAAACCTGCCATTGACCACCGGATTTTTTGAAAAGAAAATAAACCAGCAAACAATCAGAAATGTGAAAATGAGAATATCAAAGAGAAGATAAGGAAAGAGGATGATCTGTACCAGCCATGGAACAACCATCTCAAATTGCTGCCTGATCTCTGTGTGCTGCCCAGAAAGAGTTAAAATGCCCTTCTCAAATACTCAGATGCTCTTACTTGACGGGCTGACATTCTGGATGAAGCTATTTCTAACCTGGAGGCGGATGCTGTTATAACTTTTGGTGTGTGGTTCTATCTTATGGGCTAATAGAAAAAAAAGGGTTGTAAGTTGCAAGAAAGGATGCTTCCTGGTCTACTGTTCCTCCGGAATAACTTATGCCCAAGGCCATTGTTAAGTTGTTACTGCATTTAAATCAATCTGCCATGTCATGCAAACAACTTGACAGCCGACACTATGCCGTTTCTAACTGCTTTTTGTTCTTTGTTCGTCCTATCTTTAAGAGGAGAGCATATGACCCGTTCTTTCATTTTTTAGCTCACTGGCCATCCGCTGGCAATTTCAGGCTTTATACCAAAAAGAGATCTGCAACAATATTGGAAAGCTTGGGTTCCATCCAATCCTAATTCCTTATGCATGAACATATAAGGTAGTACATGAGGACTTGATAAAAAATGTTAGTCACGTATAACACAGGTATTGCGTTCAAGGTTTATTCTACCTATCTATCCATGCCATTAATCCTGCTTCCCTGCCATTGTTTTTCTGATGACTACCTGAGGAGAGATGACTAGACACTTCCCTGCCACTAATCCTGAAATAAGATATAGTGACTAGACATGGGGATCTTAGACTCTTAGTTGCGAAAGAGTGATCATGGCAGTTAGATACAGGATTATCTAATCTTTGGAGGAAAAAATTGAATAAACACTTCTTTAGTTGCACCACCTTTTGTAATCCCTGTCAATCGTGATATTGCAAGCAGCAAAAGTACACCGCTTCTAGTTCTTGAAACATGTGATGTCACCATCTCTGGGCTCAGGTTCAAGAAAATTGCAAAAGGGAACCAACTTATTTTTATTTCTCTTCATAGTAGTGCCACATATCACAGCAGTTTACATCAAGATTACACAGCAGGTCTTACATAAAACAAGCAAAGCACCTCTTACATCCAGAACACTACAGGAGAAAAGGACAGGATATGCTTAGACACTACACAAGAGGTAGAGCAGTGGCGCGTGGTTTGCAGCTCTCCCCTGTGATCATACTTAAGCCCAAACGTGCTCATATGGAGCACGCAACAATCGACGATGCATGTAGGCTCCACTCCCTCGCGCTGCACACACTTGACAAGGCAAAAGTTGCTGTTGCCCATGTACGCGAGATTGGCCCTTGTTGCTGCCAGCCGCCGCTCCGGGACTTTGAGGAACAACTTCTCCTTCGCAATCTTACAATATGGCTGCACAGCACTTTCGCGGCTGCGGGAGGCGACTTCACAGGCACAAATGTACCCGTCTTTACGGAGCCCAATCCATGCGCCTAGCTCGCTGTCGTAGTAGCCTTGCCCTTGGAAAGGCAGAGCCCATTCCCCATGCCACCTCCACTCAGAACGCTTGGTGTCAAATGAGAAGGTACCCTTTGGAACATGTTGATAAAGACTGTCGTGTGCAGACATGAATATGGTGTGCCCGTCCGGGTGCAGCACGTAAGAGGAAATTATATCATCCATGGCAAATGGCGGTGGCGATGGCACCCTTTTCCAGGACCAATCCATGGCTGGCCGTGGATCCTCAAGCTCATCGCTCCCCGTGGCTGCCCATGACATGGCCTCAAAAGAGTGCTGCTCGCCGTCATGGTGAGATGTCAATGCATACAACTTATCACCGGTGGCCACAGAGATGTCAATGCCACCAAGCAGTGAACGTGGTAGGCTTGGCCCGATGGTGATTCCCGCTATCTCGGTGTCATATACGAGGATGGGAGTCTGTGGACAGTGTGGGTTGGTGGCGATGAAGATGCTGTGACCAAAGGCCGTGAAGCTCATGCCAAGATGGCGTACTGGCACGGGAAACCGGAGGGCGGGAGGGTCAGGGAACCCAAACTGCACGTCGCTGGTGCAGGTAGTATCTTGCAAAGTGTCGGCATCAACCTTGTAGATGCTGAAGCCCGTGTCCCAATCATCCAGCACTAGGTAGAGGTGCTTCTTCGGCGCACGCCGCGGCCTTTTCCCGGTGAGGTCGCCGTCGAGGTGCGAGTGTTGACGCTTGGACATGTCTCCTCGACTCCTCCTATCAATCTTCCCGCACTAATAACTGGATATAAAGATTGAATTTTTGATTCTGATGGAGGTTACGAGGTTGCCAGTAGAGGAGAAGAAATTTATAGAGAAACGGAAGGGCAAGGAGGAGGCGACAGATCTAACCTGACTCACAGCCGGGCTCGGATTGCATGCAGATAGCCAATGGCAGAGTGCCTAGCTAGACACCGAGTCGGAGCAGAACCACCATGACGAGCGCACTACTCCACAAGAGAGCCTCACCGGAGTTGCCGTGCCGTGGTCGCCGGAGTCGTCGCCGCCGCTCTCGTGCTCCACGCGCCCGTGGACTGCTTGAGTTGCCGGGCCGCCCGTATGGATAGAAATAAGGCAGTTGAGACGCGCCGCCCCTCCGTGGTCGCCGAAATCTTGGTGTGGCCGCCGCCCTCTGCTTCCCTTCTTTCTTTCTTTTTTGTTTTGTTTTGCACTCGGTTCGGCCCATTCCGGGGTATAGCCTGCCTAGGCGCATACATGGGCCCATTCCGGGGTTGAGCCAGATTTTTTTTTTGTAAATTCTCTCGAATGTCTCAAAAAAAAAGATAAATTCTCTCAAAAACAATTTCTCTAAAACAAGTAGTACATACTCCCTGCGTCCCATAATATAAGAGCGTTTTTTTACACAAGACGGAGGGAGTATTAAACAATGTTCCCAAAACTTTAGAGAATGTTCATGAATTTTTAAAAAGATCAAAGACTAAAACATTGTTCATGCATTTTAAATAGCTTTCATGATTTTCCTGGAGTTCTTTTTTTAATGATTTGAATTTTAAATACATTCCAAAAAATAATGAAAACAATAATATAGATAGGAGAAAGCAAGAAGACAAACTAGAACAGGAGAGGGATACAAAAGGACAACAAAACGCACAAACAGCTAAAAGCTCCAGGAAAAAACATATCTGTTAACAAAATCGCACAATCAGCTAAGTGCATCTCTAGCCAGTCCCCTATAAGTTAATAAAGTAAAACCCTTAGTAGAGTATATATATACTCTACTGTTTTTTTGCCGTTTCTAGCCGATTCCTAAACTTAACGGAGTAAACTTCAATTTGATCAAATTCAAACCAATTTGAACCACATTCAAACATAGACATAGATAGTTTTGCAGAACCAAATATAAAACAAAAATTTAAACTAAATTAAGCTTAACTAAAGTACTTTCGATCGAATGTGAGGTTGAGCCAATCCTTCCTCGTCAGGTACGGTGTGTCGTGATTTGGGTCCGTGCTGGTGTCGTCGTCTTCGTCGCCGGGGAAGACACTCCTCCACTCTTCGACTTTGATCTCCTCGTCCTTGCTGCCCTTCGCACCGTCGTCCTCGCCGCCTTCGACCTCGTCGGAGGAGATAACGATAATCTCGCCACTAGCGTTGGCAAAGATCATCCGCTCTGCCTCCACAAGCTTCAGGTGCTGCCGGCAGAGCTCTTGCATGTACGCCCTGTCGGCGGCCTCGGCCTCGAGGCGCTCCCTCGCCTCGCATTCCTCCCGCGCCATAGCCGAGCTCACCACCCCCGGCTCCTCCGTGACGAGGTGGACCGGAGCCGTGCCGAAGTGGAAGTTGAGTCGGGCCGCCGCGCTGTGGTAGCGGACCTACCAGCGGTCGTACTCCTTGGCCGCGAGCTCGGGCGTATGGAAGCTCCCGAGCCACCGCTGGGTGTGGGTCTCCTGATCCATGATTTTGGCCACACACGTCCCCCACTGTCCCTGCCGGACCCCGAGGTAGGTCCTCGTCGGTGGCCGGGGCAGAGGGAGGACAGGGAAATTAAGGAGCAGATCGAGAGCACTTTGTTTATCTCCTGAAAACTCAAACTAGCCCCAGTCCACCATATGACAAGAGCGCGATCACTGTAAGAACAGAAGCTACAGCAGGAGCTGAGAGGAGCCCAATATATCCAAATAGAAAGTGCCAATCTCCAGCCTCACGTTGAGGAATGAAGTGAGACTGGCAGAAAATTCAGACATACCAGTAGAGAACCCTCAACACAATATTGCCATTCTCGACAGCGAAAAAACTTAATCAGATAATTGTTGGAGGCGCTTTGCACCAGCTTAAAAAACATATGGGCATCACACCGATGGAGGGTGAAATCATAGGGTGCCCAATCCAATCTAGAACTTTACTCCATAAAATGCACGATAGAGGACGTGGTGGTTGGGGGCGCATGATTGTAAACCTAACGACCAGAGTTCGATCCACGTCGGGGACGAATTTCTGGAATTCTCATGAGGGATGCTTCTTCTATATCAATAAAACCGTGGGTGCTAGTGCCCATGGAGTTTCATTTTTTCATAAAATGCACGATACAGCGCAACCCACCAGAAGGTGGTCAGTATCCTCCAGCGAATTGCCACAAAGAACACATTCCACGTTATGTGGGAGGCCACGCCTCGCGAGACGATCGACGATCCAGATCCTTTTCCGGATAACTAGCCAGATAAATATTTTGCAACAAAGGGGATCCCACGTCTTCCAGATTGCATTTGCAAAGGCACATAAAGGAACTCCTTGGGAGAAAGCTCGGTATGCTGATTTGGAAGTTAAGTGACCGGAAGGTTCTAACCTCCAACTCCAACAATTCTCCTGAGATGGATCAAGTTGGATTAACCCTGATGACATCCCAAATATTAAGCAATTGAATAATTTTTTTAATGGTGAACTTAATCTTGATGTCTCTCAACCAACGGCCATCAGTAAGGCCATCAGCCACCTTGGGCGTGGATTTGATATTGTTTGGGACCGAAGCGACAAGATCCAAATGCCTCCAAGGTTTATCAGGTTCAATCCTAGCAATCCACGCCCGGCGAAGCTTCATTGCAGAACTAATGCCAGTAAGGTTAATGACCCCAAGGCCCCCATTTTGCAGGGCAGTGCCCTTCAACAATTTCAGAGCCCTTCCAAAGGAAGGCCCTGCAAATCTTGTCAATTTTCTTGAACACCCAAGGAGGAGGATCAAGAGAAATCAGATTGAAGATTTATATGCGGGTTAGGACAGACTTGACCAACACAGGATGACCACTCTGCGTTAACATTGCAGATTACCATGATGCAAGACGCGACCTTATGATGTCCAATAATCTTTGAACATCCTCTTTACTAGCCCTTTTGCAGTTCAGTGAGCGAGCCTACAGCTATTGCAACAGAATGTGGCTAGATAATCATCACATAGGATGGGTGAGATTGAACTTTTGGATAATTTAAGACTCGGTCCCGAAGCCCCTTTAAGGATTTCCATCAAAGAGTTCACTGTGCGATGCGGTAAACGTCTTAGCTTTCCTGGCCAGACGTGTTGCGTGTTAAATAGCTGGGTTGCGAGCCCGGATACGCGTACAGGTTGTTGGGATACATCTCTTGGAGAGAAAGAATACTAGAGATAAGAAAGATAAAGATTACATAGTATTCTAGTTAACTAACTACTCCACCGGATGATCTTATACCGGCGCAACTCCTTGACATACACGCAATATCTCATGTTTGACACCCTCCCTTAATCACAACTTCGTCAAGTTGAGATTATGCTTGAAGTCTTCAAAGCTTCTTGTGGGTAGAGCTTTAGTGAAACCATCCGCAACTTGGTCTTAAGAGTGAATAAACCGAATATCCAAAAGTTTATTTGCAACTCTTTCTCGAACAAAGTGAAAATCTATCTCAATGTGTTTAGTTCTAGCATGAAAGACTGGATTTGCTGATAAATAGGTAGCACCTAAATTATCACACCACAAACAAGGAGCTCTAGTGCTTTTCATACCTAGTTCCTTTAAAATTGACTGCACCCATATGATCTCTGCTGTTGCATTTGCCAATGCTTTATATTCTGCCTATGTACTAGATCTTGAAACTGTGGCTTGCTTCCTGGCACTCCAAGATATCAAATTTGGTCCAAAGAAAACTGCAAAGCCACCTGTTGAACGTCTGTCATCTAGACAACCAGCCCAATCAGAGTCAGAAGGCACTGATAAGTGTAGAATATGACTTGCTGAAATTTAGGCCAACATTCAGCGTATTTTTCACATATCTTACTATACGCTTTGCAACAGTCATATGAACAGTGGTAGGTGCATGAACAAACTGACACACTTTGTTAACAGCAAAGGAAATGTCTGGTCTAGTCAGTGTTAGGTATTGAAGTGCACCTACCAAACTTCTGTACTTTGTACCATTTTCTGAACTCAAGGGCTCTCCTTCAACAAGAGATAATTTTTCTGTGCTGGATAAAGGAGTGGGCGCAGGCTTACAACTTTGTAAACCAGCCTTTTTTACCAAGTCTGTTGCATATTTTTTCTGAGAGAGGTGAAGATCATCCTTGTGTTGCTTTACCTCAATACCAAGAAAATAATGCAGATCTCCTAGATCCTTGAGGGAAAATTCTGTACTCAAATCTTTCAACAGTGCAGTTATAGCTTCATCAGATGAGCTTGTCACAATTATATCATCAACATATATGAGAACATATATGGATATACTTGATTTGTTATAAATGAACAATGACGTGTTAGACTTTGAGGGAACAAAACCAAGTGTTTGAATCTTCTTACTGAGACGAGAATACCATGCTCTTGGTGCCTGCTTTAGTCCATACAACGCCTTGTCAAGTTTGCACACATGAAGTGGTGCATGTGTGTTTACAAACCCAGGTGGTTGTTTCATGTAAACCTCTTCTTCCAGAACACCAAGGAGGAACGCGTTCTGAACATCTAGCTGACGTAGACTCCATCCCCTGGACACAACAATGGACAAAACAAGACGAATAGTAGCAGCCTTTACAACTGGACTAAACGTGTCCTCATAGTCAATACCATACCGTTGTTTAAAACCCTTTGCAACGAGTCTAGCTTTGTAATGGTCAATGGTTCCATCAGCTTTCCTTTTAATCCTAAAAACCCACTTGCAGTCAATAAGATTTTTACCTCGTTGTGAAGGAACCAAGTGCCATGTTCTATTTTTCTTAAGTGCTATGATTT